TCACGGAGAGGAGCATGCCTCACGGAGAGGAGCATGCCTCACGGAGACGAGCACAGAGATGCTCTCTTGAACACATACAAGCAGCTATAGACACTAAAGAAGCTTGATGACTCTCCTACTGCCTCTTTCAGAAGTGTACTCTTCACATTGTCTGTGGATGAGTGTGTGTGTGGTGTGTGTGTGTTTTCATATTCTGTCTCCCAGGAACAATGGAGAAAATTCTGTGGAACTTTCAACTCTTGGGAATGAATGGAAGGTCAAGTCATCCTAAGCACACATTTGTGCTCTTCCCAGGGTCCCCAGCTGCCCAGTGAAGCTGGCCATGAGAATTCTATTCTTTCTGTTTCTAATGGTGTCCGATTCTTCAGTTGAAGTAATGGATGGGGAATCAGTGCGTCTTCCTCACAGCTTCTTGTTTCTGTTTCTTCCCTCTTCCTGTACAATTGAAACTCTACGTGTCTTCCCACAGATCACCCGGTAGACATGATGAACATCAAGGCCTTCACCTTGGTCTCGGCAGTGGAACGGGAGCTGCTGATGGGGGACAGAGACCACATCAGCATCGAGTGTGTGGAGTGCTGTGGCAGGAATCTCTATGTCGGCACCAGCGACTGCTTCATTTACCACTTCCTGCTGGAGGAGAAGGCCATGCCTACAGGGACAGCTACATTCATTGCCACAAAACAGCTACACAGACACCTGGGCTTCAAGAAACCTGTGAACGAGCTGTGTGCGGCCTCAGCTCTCAATAGGCTGCTGGTGCTCTGTGACAACTCTATAACCCTGGTTAACATGCTGAACCTGGAGCCAGTCCCCTCAGGAGCCCGCATCAAAGGGGCTACAACGTTTGCAGTGAATGAGAACCCTGTGAATGGGGACCCTTTCTGTGTGGAGGTGTGCATCATTTCCGTGAAGCGCAGGACTGTCCAAATGTTTCTGGTGTATGAGGACCGAGTACAGATTGTCAAGGAAGTGTCCACCCCAGAGCAGCCTCTTGCTGTGGCTGTGGATGGCTACTTCTTGTGCCTGGCCTTGACCACACAATACATCATCCTGAACTACAGCACAGGCCTTTCCCAGGACCTGTTTCCCTACTGCAGTGAGGAGAAGCCACCCATCGTCAAGAGGATAGGCAGACAGGAGTTCCTGCTGGCTGGCCCAGGAGGCTTGGGTGAGGAGGGCTGGGGATTTGCTGCTTATGGCACCTGCATCATGCCTGCTGTGTTGGGTCTTTAGGACACACCTTGCAGTGGGACGGTATGGGTTCCACAGTGACATATGTCACTTAATGACATGGTCCTAAGAAATACATCATTACTTATGTCATTGTACAATCATCAGAGTATCTGTTGGCCAGTTAATATGACAGTGTCACTAAGGGACATGATATTCACATGCCTTTCCTGTGGACCAGATGACATGTGACACATGATTATACTCATGAGTGCCTGGCAGCATTGGAAATGAGTGGCCAGGTCGTAGTAGTTCTGCATGACCAGAGTGTACTGAAATTCCGTTGTGACTTTGGGGTCACCATTTCCTACCAGAGTGGTTTTTCAGATATAGTCAGTGAACCTGATTAACACCTCACTAATAAAGAGAGTTCAGACTCACATTAGGGCTCATTGTTGGTGATGAACATTTGACAGGTTTGCCCAAATGGTTTGTAACCACAACCGTGGTATCGTACAGAGTGCCTTCACTGCCTTAAAAGTCCTTAGGCTTGACCTAGTCACTATAACCCCCTTGTAGTGAATACAATTATAAGCACATAGACAGAACATGTATAAGGTTTTTTTATGTACACAATATGTAGATATAGGTTCTATAAGTAGCATTACTACATGGCTCCAGAAATTAAGAGTTCAAACAAATTACTATCAAGATTGTAAGTGCACATTTCAGCATGACACCTATTTCTATTTTCGATTCTGCCTTTCTCCCTGAGTGTAGCTTGTCATAAGAGATAATGCATGACCTTTCTTAAGGCAAACTTACCAGACATTTTTTATAATACTTTGACTATCCCCCTTGATGGTGCTTCTCAGACAAGAAAAATAATGCAGTTGTTCTCTATGTTTTGTGGACTTAGCTCACAAGTAGGCTTGAACATAGAAGGGACATAGCCAAAAAAGAATGGTCTTAAAAGTTGGTGTGCCCTTTCCAAATCTCTTAGATTGCATGCTGACAACATTTAGGCTCCTTCAATTGTATAAAAGCAACAGACTTCATCACCTGCCTGGAAGAAGAGAGCTAGCTGGGACACTTAAGCAACAGTGTAGCATGGATCTCTCTTCTTAGGGTTCTTTTCTAGCTTGACTTGACCTCGTTTGGGAGTTAGGGCTCTCCCCCTTCATTCTAGTGAAACTGCAGAAGCTGTGGTTCGTGATACCTGGTTTCTGCCCTCTTTATGTCAGAGCCTCTGCAGTATGTGATTCTCTTGAGAAGGTAAGTGCCATGATTCTGACTCACAGTGTTGAGTGGTCTATCACGGGCTCTTGTTGCTCAAAGCATAGCTGTTTGACCCAGAATTCAGCAGAATCCTTGAGGTAGCTCCATGCTCATCCCTTGCCTGTTTGTATTTATCTCATGACTTGGTGGAGGTGGCATCACATTACCAGCCTTGCCTTTCCTGTCTTCTTCTCCCTTTTGGCCTCTTTGGCTGACTTCCAATGATAGTACTAACCTCCCCACTTGGTCTTCATTCAGACCTGTGCTTCACTTTCTCAGTGGGTTTTTTTTTTTTTTAATGCTGTTTTGTACACTTGGTGTTACTGTTATGATCAGGATGTCTGTCCCCAAAAAGGTCCCTGTGATAGAGTCTTAGTCTCTAGGGTGGCCACTGGAGAATGGTGAATCTCAGCCTAGCATAGTGATTCTCAACCTTCCTAATGCTGTGACCCTTAATATAATTCATGTTCTGGTGACTCCCAACCATACAATTATTTTGTTGCTACTGTATAACTGTAATTTTGTTACTGTTATGAGTCCTAATGTAAATATCTGTTTCCAGTCGTCCTTGGCACACCCTAATGGTCATTCAGCACCCTAAAAAGGGGTTGCAATCTACAGGTTGAGAACTGCTGCTCTAGGCAGGTGGAATCTGGAGAGAAGTCCTTAGGGTGGGTCTTGACAAAGGTCAGGTTCCTCCCTCCGCATTTCACTTGGCATCCTGATTCATGAAGCAAGTGACGTCATTCGGCTTCATGCTCCTGCTAGGGTGTGCTACCCCAGCAGAGGCCCACAGCAATGGAGCTCTTGGCCCCTCAGCTTATACTCACCTCCCCTCCCACCCCAGGTTGTAACAGAAGCCATTGATTGCTTCAATGATGTCTGATCATTTGGAAACAACAATATGATGCTTTTAAAAGTTAAAGTTAAAATGGACTGACACCTCTGTGTCAAAATATTCATCCAGTGTTCCCTAATATCAGTGTCTTATGTACAGTGGACATATCTGTCACAGGCTTATTATGGACAAAGGCTTCACAGCAGTCTGTCTTGAATCAAGAAAGCAACTTTTCTGTGTTACAGCATATGTATTCTTATAGCTCATACACATTCTCAAGGATAAAGGGGTAAACCCAATAATCGGTGCTCAGACCTCAACTCTAAACATAGATAGACAGCTTCTCATTGTAGAGGGTCTGACACATGGCAGGTGCTCAGTAACTATGCTGACCAAACGTGTGAAAAAGAGCTGAAGCCCAGAGGCAGGCTAGGTGGAGGAGTGGGTATGGAAGAAAGCGTGCCAGGCTTCCCAAGTCATTTATAAATGGGCATGTAAGTTCAATGGAAACATTTTAAAATATCATTTGTAATTAGAAGCAGATATGATATGCACTCTGAATAAGGTAGTTCTCTTCACAGTGATAAAGTCATACGTGATTGTTTGCACGTGAATATATTCTGTTATTGTTTGAAAAATCCAAGCCTGTAGGAGAACTGAAGAAGAGTTACTTTTCACTCAGTCATTGCTATGGCAAAGAATACCTCATAGTTATTTGAAGACACCTCCTTTTTATTTTTTAGGCATGTTTGCCACCGTGGCCGGGATTTCCCAGCGTGCCCCTGTGCACTGGTCAGAAAATGTGATTGGGGCAGCTGTTTGCTTTCCCTATGTCATAGCGCTCGATGACGAATTCATCACAGTTCACAGCATGCTGGATCAGCAGCAGAAACAGACCCTACCATTTAAGGAGGGTCACATCCTGCAGGACTTTGAAGGTACCTGTTGAAATAGAAATCTTAACATTTCCATTCCAAACCTTCTGTGATCTCTCTACAGTAAATGTTATTGGGGACACATTAGGAGCTGGGCCTTATGCTTAGAGAAGATAGCATTAAACAGAGCTGGAGAAATGGCTTAGTGGTTAAGTGCTCTTGTTGCTCTTGCACAGGACCCAGGTTTAATTCCCAGTACTAGGCTACTCACAGCTGAATATGGGAACCTGTGTATATGCAGTCCACACACGCACAAATGCATGTGCGAGCACACAAAAACACACACAAAAATAAAAAGAAATAGATCTTTGAAAAGGAAAAAGGAATCACTGTAGTGCAGTTTCTATGCTTCAGGGACAGCAAGGTTAAGGGTGTAATAGGCATTTCAGTAAAGAACTGCAGTGGTTTAGAACTTGGCTGGACATATCAGGGAGGGCTTCCTGGGGATGCCATTTAAGGATGGATAGGAGTCAGCCAAGCAAGTGTATGCAGAGTCTTCTAGCAGAGAAAAGGGTGTGTCTGAACAAGAGACCCCACAGGCAGGTCGTTGGTATGTGTGGAAGGTGAGTGCATCCAGGCTGCAGTGTGGTTAGGCACAGTTGGCAAGAGGCCTAAGTGTAATGCGCACAAATGTCACTTCCTCTCCATTCCACTCTGAACATTTGCATTCCCTTCACCCAGATCGGAAGCTTGGGTGTGTTTGCAGCATTGTTTGTAAGTAAATGGTGGGTATTGTATCATTGAATTCTGACCTTCATCAACACAAATCTCCTAAGAACATTCATAGTTGAGAATGTTAATAGTCATTCTTTAGCACCATCTGCTAGCCCACTGCCTTAGTTAGGCTTTCGATTGCTGTAAAGAAACACCATGACCATGGCAGCTTTTATAAAGAAAAACATTTAATTGAGACTGGGTTATAGTTTCAGATTATCATCATGGCGGGAAGCATGGCGGTGTGCAGGCAGACATGGTGCTGGAAGAGGAGCTGAGAGTTCTACATCTCAATCAGAAGGCAGCAGAAAGAGATACTGAGACATTGGCTTGAGCTTCAGAAACCTCAGAGCCCATCCCTCAGTGACACACTTCCTCAGACAAGGCCACACCTCTTAATAGTGTCACTCTCTATCAGCCTATGGGGGCCATTTTCTTACCACCGTACTGGCCTATACTCATGTCCCCAACTTGTCCAAAGAGTGGCTTTGAGTATTTTATAAATCTAAATAATACCTTGTACTTGCCACTTAGTGATCCCTTTGTTCTCTGAGCAGTGCCTTCCTGGTATCTGAGATGCTAGAGATAGATATAACCTTAGTAAGAAATGTAACACCCACAATGATGTGGGTCAGATCCAGTTAAGCGCTGGCACGTGAATTACAGTCATCCCTTGGTACACACAAGGACAGGTTGCATTATCCTTCTTGAATAGTGAAATATATGGATATTTTGGTCCCTTTTATGACTTGGCTTAGCATTAGCCTAGAACCTACTACACACATGTTCTTGCTGGTTTTAAATCATCTCTAGATTACTTAAAGCCACGCACAAACTATTTAAGTAGTTGTTACTTCATTTATTGTTTGGAGAACTATGACAGAAAAAACTTCATGTGCAACTACAGATGCAATCATCTCTTTCCCAGATATTTTTGATTCCTGTTGGATTGAACCTACAAATTCAGAAGCTTCAGACATGTAATCTGTAGACCTAGGGGGCCAACTGCATGCTCAGCTTACAGGACTTTGAATACTGAGTGGTTCACACTAGCACGGGGATTACAGTCATGGAGGAGACCAATATAGCCTACCTTACATGGGAGCAGAGGTTCCTTGGAAGTGTAGCTTCAAGCAGAGGCCAGACACTGACAGAAAACAAGGGAAAGCACTTTAATTGGGATGCAGGAGACAGAAGAAATAAGTTACTACTTCCCGTGAAGAGGGACTGCTGAGTTAAGAGAAGGATCAGAGTTTAATTCGAAAGCTCAGTGGAAGGAGCTAGTGTAGACTGCAGTCCTCACTCTTTCACAGACAGACTTCTGTAGAGCAGTGGTTCGCAACCTCCCTAATACAGTGACCCTATAATATAGTTCCTCACGTTGTGGTGACACCACCCAACCATAAAATTATGTTTGTTGCTATTTCATAACTGTATTTTTGCTACTGTTATAAATTGTGATGTAAGTATCTATCTTCTGATGGTCTTAGGTGACCCCATGAAAGGGTTGTTCAACCTCCAAGGGGGTCGACCTACAGGTTGAGAACTGCTGCTGTAAAGTCTTGGGTACAAGGTTTACAATGGTGGACACAGACAGCTGGCAGGATGGTAGGGAAACCAGTAAGTGAACAGCCTAGGTGCTATATAGATGGAGGGGAAACGTGAAATACTATCTCAGAGTTCAAAACATTGCATTAAAAGCTTAGTGTATGCAAACCAACTTTAGAAGGAAACGATTTTCAGTGAGGTTTTGATGATGTCCCATGATGGAGCTCTGTAGCTTCCTTGGACCCTGCATCATGTGTTTCCTCACGGGTTTCTAAGTCAGTGGGCATTTCCACATAGAAAAGGGGTAAAGAGCACATTTTATCCTTTCGCAATGTGACATTCAAGTTTACCCTTCCCAACAGCTGTCAGTGTGGGCGGAAGAAAAGGGAGGCATCATACCATAATATTGTTTGGAATGGTATTGGACAAGCTGGTGGGAGTGATTAGCAGATCAGATAAGGGCCCAGCATGAGGAAAGCAGTCATGTACCGAGGGAGGCAATGCTTTTTCTCTTCCAACAACTTTAATGGTTTTCTTTTCTTCCCCTCAGGAAGAGTGATTGTTGCCACAAGTAAAGGAGTTTACATCTTGGTTCCATTACCTCTGGAAAAACAAATACAGGATCTGTTAGCAAACCGGAGAGTGGAGGAGGCTTTGGTCTTGGCAAAAGGGGCCCGGAGGAACATTCCAAAAGAGAAATTTCAGGTTGGTAATTACTGGTCACAAGAAAGCATGACTGTAAGCATAAGCATTCGGATTTAACCACACACTGGGCTCACTCTACAGAAGACCCTGTGCAGGGCTTTTGTGCCCATCCTGTAATGTTTCTCAACACATCTTGTGTTCTGTAGATTAGGAAGCAAATTACAGAGGCAACCAAACAGCTCAACTAAGACTGCATGGCTGACTGTGGAAGGTCAGCTTGTTAGTTCTTCCTTTGGTACACTAGGCTGTATTTGAAATCATCAGTCATCACCTAGAACAGCTATGAACATGGTTCTTATAAGCAAGCCATCAAAGTTAGGTCAGGCCAACTGGTCTCTGATTTTAGACCTTGTATTTGTTGAGGTGGGGTTGAATTAATCTGCATGCATGTCCTCTCCGTAGACAGCAGGGAGCAGGGGCCACTTGCATCCAGGATAGCTATAAATGAACATTTATACATTTGTATAAATATAAATGAATACTTATAAATCCAATTTGTATAAATCCAGTACATTTGTAGATAACATGTTACTATGTTACAGTGTCAAAGGGCTGCATCCTCCCCCTCAAAAAATTCCTTTTTTTTCTTTTCTTTTTTTCTTTCTTTTTTTTTTTTTGAATCATCTATAGGCAGTGCTCTGCCCGAAATGCAGATAAAGTACCTGTCATTGCAGGAGCCCAGGCACTTCATTCCCTCACAGAACTTCAGTCTTCCAAGTACAGGAACCACAGGCACAGGTCACTGTATCTGGCCATGAGAAAACACAAAGCACGCTGGACAGATGTTAATTTTAAATATTATTTAAATGATAAGCACAGTCAATATCAATTATATTTCTAAAATTCCTACTTGATCAGCTGTGTCATTAAGGGCACTCTACATGTCTGTGAGTGCTTTTGAACCTGGGGGCCTAGACCTGTAAAGCTAGTTACTTGGAAGCCTTGAGGTAAGGGGACCTCAAGGTCAAGGCCTACTTGACGTACAGAGTGAGTTCAGTGCCAACTGATTTTGGGTAACCCTGTCTCAAAGTAAAAAGGTGACATCCCCTTGCCTAGCTTGGGTGAGGTTTTAGGTCCAGACCCTAGTGCTGCAAAAAGAGCAGCAACCAACAACTAAAACTGGTGGTGTGTAGCCATTTCTATTATCATCTGAATCAATCAGATTTACCCGTGATTGATTGCTATGGCAGAAAAAATGTGTTTGGATGCAAGTTGCCTCATAGAGCAAAGAGTAGTTAGTCGCTTCTGCCAGTGATGAAAAGCACATGTGTCCTCCATGGCTTGGAGATTTGGAAGGAAAGGTCTCTGTGTTAACAGTTCTTTTATACCCTGCTCCTAACTTGCTGAAGTGGCACTGACCTATCAGCATTCAGCAGGGGGCAGCACACTCAAAGGCACAAAGCTGACTGCTGGTGCTTACCTCCCTTGTCCAACCAGTGCAGAAAGAGGGGGCTGTGGCAGAGTGAAGAGGAACTGCCTGGGCATGGGCAGCCATGGCATTGTGTCAGTTGCTGCTGAAGGGCTACCCTGTCGTACAAGCACCACATGCACTGCACTCAAGTTATTCAGCATTTTCTTCATTTGCTTTTCCCCACTTCTGCTCTTTTTGACAAGAGCAGAGAGTATAGCCAGTCCCTGATGAGGTGACAAGCATTCTCTTGCTGTCCAGCCTCCAGCCCCTCCTGGGGGGTTCTGTTCCTTTGCATCTGATCCCTGCCTTCTCCCTGTAATGCTGCAGATTCAACTCTCTTGTTATGTGGGGATTATTTTCCTTGAGCTATGCAAACAGCCGTGTGTGTGTGTGTGTGTGTGTGTGTGTGTGTGTGTGTGTGTGTGCAGTCCCATGCACATGCCAAGATTTCAAAAGATGCATCATTGCCCAGGTGAAGTGCTTCATTGACTGGCCTCACCCTCTTTTCTAGACACATCTTCTACAGCTCATATTGCCCCTGTGAAGCCCGTGTTTAGTTCATACCTGTCAACCCCAAGTCAGCACATACATACAGTGAGAGTAAATCTGCTGACTCTGCTCTCAGCTTCTGTCAAGAAGGCCATCAGTACCATCCTAGGGGTCCTGCCTTCATGACCTCATCCAACCCTAACTGCATCCCACACACTACACCTCCAAGTTCTGTTAACAGGAATTTGGGGGTAAGTTTGTAGACTCATAGAGACTTGTGAAGTTGGTGGTGGGTCTGTTTTCCTCTGGGAATGGGGTAGAGGAGTGTGGGGAGACACAGTGACACAAGAGTGGCATTCGAGTCATGAATGGACTCATGAAGATGCTCCTGTCACTGATTTCTCTGTAGCAAGCCTGGATATGCCTAAGAATTCTCTCATGCTTGATGGGTCCTTTTAATCCTTCTGCTACAAGCATGGCTCATATTATTTCTACTTCCAGAAATAGAACTGCATAGTGGGCAGAAGGACTCAATTTCTCCTTATTATTACAAGGTGGTATAGTGAGTCCAGCCGTTGGGTCCGATGGCGGTTTTCAGAGAAAGATAAAGGCAGATAAAGAGAAGGGAGAGAGGCAGTTTAAGCAGTGTGCTGAAATCAACTCCCCTAAAGGAACTGCTGCTATGCTTGGAGCGCTGCTTAAAACCATGGTGAACTGGGGCATAGCTCAGTAGCAGAACACTTGCCCAGCATGCACAAGGACTTCTGTTTGATGCCCAGCAATCCAAATGAATTCACACGCACATGCACACATGCACACACGCACACACACACCACTGAAAAGCAGTCAAAACCATCTTCAGATGGGAGACAGAGTGCCAGGATGATGATGTTGGCATATGTGAAAACAAGCAACAAGATGTGTCCAGAAACCATTTCAGACAAACCGTAACAGAGTTCAGAAATAGGCAGTGACCAAAGGAAGAAAAGGATGGGCTTTCCTGAAGTGTGTGATGTCCTTTTTTTGAGACAGGTTTTCTCTGTGTAGCCCTAGCTGTCCTGGAACTCGCTATGTAGACCAGTGTGATTTTGAACCAGGAGATTTGGCTGCCTCTCTGAGATTAAAGGCATGTGCCACCACCACCACCTAGCCTTCCCCCCCCCCCAAAGATTTATTTATTTCCTTTTATTTTATGTACATTGGTTTTCTGCCTGCATGTATGTCTGTGTGAGAGTGTCAGATCCCCTGGAACTAGAGTTACAGACAGTCATGAGCTGCCATGTTGGTCTTGGGGATTGAAACCAGGACCTCTGGAAGAGCAGCTAGTGCTCTGTGTGTATGTGTTATTATTGTTGGGTGTTACAAGAATGGAAAAATCCTCCAGACAAGTTGGATTGCAGTGATCCATGTGCAGAAAAGGTGACAATTTACTGCAAGAACTTTAGACAGTCTGTTATTAATGTGAGCCAAGTGTCTCCAGGAGATAAGGCATACAACACTACCTCAGCTTTGGCTAAGAGACCCATGTATCTATGTAATACTTATGTTTGACTAGCCTATGTGTGAAGGATGATATGAGAAATACCCCTCCAAAGTCAATTTCAGAGGAGTAGAAGAACAAGCCAGAGCCCCTGAGGCCTTTGATCTCTACCTAAACAAGAGAGGATGAAGCAGTCACAGAAGCCTGGTGGATTGAGCACAGGGGTGAAGCTATACATTATGGGTTCATGGAATCAGACCTATGAAGGTGTGTGTGTGTGTGTGTGTGTGTGTGTGTGTGTGTGTGTGTGTGTGTCTGTCTGTCTATCTGTCTGTGTTTAACTCCTCTGCTCAGTAGAGCACTTTCCTTTCCTACATGCATGAGGTTCTGGGCTCTATCTCAAATACCACAAGAAGAAAGATTGCATCTGTGCTGAAGGTATATAGTCTGCTTTCTTGGACATTATTTCATAAACTACATAGAACTGTTTATGTTAGTTTTACGTATTACTAAGTATTACATGTAATCTAGTAGGAGGATGTGCATAGATCCTAAGGGATACAATGCTATTTTATATAAAGGACTTGGGTTTATATTGATATCTGTGGGGCCCTGAAACTCGTGCCTTTCCACTACAGAGGGATAACTACATGCATAGATTTAAGTTGTTTTTTTTAAACTAATGTCTTATCTCTGTGGAGTGTGGTAAACCAAGATGTGGATGACATCTGTTGATAGTTTAAGGTGTCTTCAGGAGATGATTGATCTTATTTCCTTGTAGGTAATGTACAGAAGGATTCTGCAGCAGGCAGGCTTTATACAGTTTGCACAACTCCAGTTCCTGGAAGCCAAAGAGCTCTTCAGGTAATTTGAAGTGTTGGTAGCAGGACTGTCACTCAATGTCCCCCTCCGCCACCCTTGCAGTTTCAAGGGAGAATTATGGCACGGCTAGATGGAGACCTGGGTAGGAGTGATAAGGCTGCTGGGGTAGTTCACACCTTTCAAGGTGGTCCCTGGTCTCCACTACCAGTCTTAGTTTACCCACTGTCCCAGCTCCTGAGGAGAGTCCTTGACGGTAGCAGGGCTGCCATACCAAGATAGTAGTGTTCCTGAGTGGGATTGTCAGGACAGCAGTGTTCTGAAGTGGGATGGTTATGTGTGGATTCTGAGGAATATTTATTCTTGCTACCTCCTTTCCAGAGATTTCACTGGAAGCTGAGTTTAGAGAAAGCAAGGGCTTTGGGGAAGACCTATAAAAACTTTGAATCATATATAGACTTTCAAGATGGTATATGCCTGGTTGGCACACTCAGGAATTGAGTCTGTCTTAAGGAAGACGGCCGCCCGCCATTCTGACTGATTCTCCTGTGGGCCCTGAGAGGTCGCTCGCTCTCTCTCTCTCTCTCTCTCTCTCTCTCTCTCTCTCTCTCTCTCTCTCTTTCTCTCTTTCTCTCTCTTCCTTTTCTCTTGCCTATTTACATTCTCTCTTGCTCTTGGTTTTCCTTATCCATCTATGTAGGAAACATACCTTTGACATCACACTTGCCCTTGTATCTGTCCTTTGCTCTCACCAGTGTGTTCCTGTGACCATGGTTACTCACAGACTTGCTCAGCATCCTCTGGGGAAATGAACTTGCACCTGCTAGGAGCATTGTCTTCAAGTACTTTAAAGAGCAGTGCTTCACTAGAACATTCTGTGGTCTAGAACTTTCTAGCAAACAACACATATAGAAAGCTCTGTATAGACCCTGTACATTCCAGGGGACTTAGCAGGATGCTGGTAGGCTTCCTCTGCCCTTCCTTGAGGATGATTGCTTGTGTCTCAAGAATGTGCTGAAATACACAGCAGATTTGATGTCTTCCTCTGTCAGAAAAATGGGCTATAGGGAACAAGTCTCTGAGAGAAGTCACTCCTCCATTTCTTGAGGAGTGACTCCCAGTAGTACTTTTTACTATGCTAGTCCAGGTGCTGCCACCATCTGGTCCTATAAAGACTGACATTTCAGTTTAAGTAGACCCCTTGCTCATTCGCACCTCAGCAAATCTTGTTTTGTCCTGACAGTGTCATTGCCCTTGACTTTCACATCATAGGTGCTGCTAGTACATACTGTGGTCAGTCTAAGATACCAGGCGGATGTCCATGAGCACATGCCTGGGAAAGTCCCCCATCTTGGTGAGAGTTGAAGCTGGGCCTGTCTGTCATTAGGACGAGGTTCTCATGCCTCCATATTAGTCTCTCAGCAGCACAGCATTACGCTGGTAGCTGCTCACCTTGTCACAGTGTCACTGAGAACTGACGTCTGCCTGGGTAAGAAGCTTCTCAGACAGCAGTGGTTGACTTTGACCTTCTTGTTTCTGTTCTGGGCCCTGAACGTAGACTTCATCCCATAGCTGTGCCAGAGGCCATACTCCTAGCTCATCATGGTTGACACCTGTGAGAAAACCCTCGTGTTGTTCATGTATGGGACCGAAGCTGCGTGTCTTCTGGAGGTCCTCAGTCTGCCTTCATACTGTTTAGCAAACTTGGCCTAAGTAATGAGGACCACAAGGGTATCAGAGGGCCTGTGCTACTGAAGAGCCATACAAGCTTGGAAGTAACCTCTCCCATCTAGTGTGAGGACTGTCCTGGCTAGTAAGCACTGCATGGACTCATGCTTGCCAGAAGAGGGATCTTGTTCCACAGGTTCATCCTGGATTTTAAGCAGTGAGCAGAAGTTTCCTGTATCAGGAACCCTCCTGTAGCCCTCGGAGTCTTGACCTTGATGCTCTTAGGCCTGATGGTTCTTTATTGTGAGCGTGTTGGGGCAGGCCTGTCTGGCACATTGTAGGGCGTTTATCCCTAGATTCTACCTACTAGATGTTAGTAATAGCATGGCCCTAGGTAGGATAAAGTCCCTTATTCAAGCACCACTGAACAATCTATTTGGAATTTAGCATCAGGAAGATGCTGTTTATCCTGGCTCAGATTGATGCCACATTGTTCTTGGCATAGTTCTGTCTTGCCTGAGGAATCCCAGGGCTCAGTGGGTTTTCCTCACAGTGCAGGTGTCTTGATGTTGAACTAATCAGTCATCTGTGTATGTTCTTCACCTTTGTTTCCTCTGCTTCTTTCGGAACCATGTTTGGTAGTGTTTCATTGATACTAGCAAATGAGGGTGATTGCTTGGACACATTCACACCCATTAACATGTGCCTACAGGCACTGCCCTCCAGTGTTGTTAGTGTGCCTATGTGTACTCTCTCTCTCTTTTTGCTTCATTTAGTTTGACACTGTAATTGCAGAAGCAGCCAGCTGGATGTCCGGGAGCTGATCTCTCTCTACCCCTTCCTGTTGCCCACCTCCTCCTCCTTCACCCGGTCTCACCCTCCTCTTCATGAGTATGCAGACCTGAACCATCTGACCCAAGGTGACCAGGAGAAGATGGCCAAGTGCAAGCGCTTCCTCATGAGCTACCTGAATGAGATCCGCAGCACAGAGGTAGCAAATGGTTACAAGGAAGATATCGACACGGCCTTGCTCAAGCTGTATGCAGAGGCTGACCATGACAGCCTCCTGGACCTCTTGGTCACTGAGAACTTCTGCTTGCTGACAGACAGTGCTGCCTGGCTGGAGAAGTACAAAAAGTGAGTGTTCTCAACCCTATGTGGTGAGTCTTTCACTACAGCCCTGTTGCACTCCATGAGACCCCGTGAGGAGATGCTATGAGACTGACTCAGCCAGCATTGATGAGAAATCAAGATCACCAAGAAGTCCTTGTGATAATAGGCACCAAATAGTCCTTAGATGATGATGTCCTCCTGATCTAAAGGACCTTGGGGAAACTCACTCTTGTCCTTGTTCTTCGTGTTGGGAAGCACAATGTGAATTACTGTGAGCTTTGTCCTGTTGTCAGACCAGGACTCAACCTTAGAAGACGACACTTGGTAGTAATGGTGCAATTGAATCTCTCACAGCCAAGATGATTGACATCTAAGTCAATAGCTGAGCCCTCTTGATCTTGTTGATCAAACTCACTTAGGTCACTGTGCTTTGGTAGATTTCAGAGTCCAGGTTTCAGATTAGGGCTGTTCAACCTGTTTGGTTTCAAATCCAATGCACACCAACACCTGGTGGTAGTGACTCAGGATGCTGTCTCTATAAAAAGTCATGAAATGTTCCCAGAGATTTAAAGGAGAAGGTTCCAACTAACACTTCAGTATCTTGAGATGTGTCTCTGAGGAGGCCGGCCCTCTCCAAGGGCCAGCTCCTGGGTGGGAGGAAGACCATGGGTGGAGCACAAGCTCTGCGCAGCCCAGACCATGCACCATTTGTTCATTGTTTCCACCCCTTTCTCTTTCAGGTACTTTGCACTGGGGCTACTCTATCATTACAACAAACAAGATGCCTCTGCAGTTCAGGTGAGTTCAGAAGGATGCTAGGGACTTGGTATGGAAAAGCGCCAGCTGTGCAAAGCTTGACCCCTGCCTCTGAGCCTCATAACCCGTGGTGTTAGGAGAACCAGCTTTGGAAAGTTATTCTCAGACTCCACATGTATACCGAGGCATATGGGCTCCCACGTTTACACATATTTAGGACCAGTAATCTATAATTTTCTATTACTTTTTAAAAACCCATTAATCCATAGAACCCACTTTTGCCTAATCTGGTCTTTTCTGCAGAGAACAAAAATAATAGTTTTCTTTCTTTCTTTCTTTCTTTCTTTCTTTCTTTCTTCCCTCCCTCCTTCCCTCCCTCCCTCCCTCCCTTCCTTCCTTTTGTTATATGTAGGTGAGTGCACTGTAGCTGTCTTCAGACACACCAGAAGAGGGGATTCAATTCCGTTCCAGATAGCTACGTGGTTGCTGGGAATTGAACTCAGGACATCTGGATGAGTAGTCAGTGCTCTTAACTGCTGAGCTATCTCTCCAGCCCAATAATACTGTTTTCAAAAGTGAATTATTTGGGAAATGTTGACTTTAAGTCTCCATACTTGTTCTTGACAAAAAGGCCAAGAAATGATGTCTTTAATTCTCTTTAAAGAACATTATCAAGATGGAGTTTGTGAAAACTGAAGAAATGAAAACAAGGTTGACTTCCTTTTAAAGTTAAAAGGGGGGCTTAGAGCTAAGAGCGGTTGCTGCTCTACTCCAGTCTATTCCTACACCGGTGCTGGTCGCCCACAACTCATAACTCTAGGTTAGGATTCTAGGGATTGGCCCCTCTTCTGGCCTCCATGGGCACTATCCACCTAAAGCATGTGCACCCATGGGCGCGTACATACACATAGCATATATTTAGAAAATTAGCTGTCACATAGTAACTGTACACCCTTCTTGGACACAGCGGACCATTTGACATGTGCTTACAGTGGACAGTGATCAGGTCACAGTCATTGGGATCCCAGCTTCTGAGATGTTCACTGTCCTCTGTACTGGGGAGCTTAGAGCTCATCTCTTTTAGTGCTTTTATTCACCCCAGTGAGCCACACAACACTAGGGATTATTTCTCTAAGTGTATTTTAGTAACCTGTATCTAGCTTGCCTCTGTACCCCGACTCCCTACCACCTTTCTTTATTGCTAATATCCACTGTTTTTCTCTACGTTTACGAAATTAGCTTGAATTAGCTTGAATGTGATATTTTTGCTGAGCCAGTAGGCATACGACATCACCTTAGAAACTCAGGGCAGCAGGTATCAATTGTGTTATAATTTCTACTGTTAATAACAGCAGCTGTTGCTAGTGAGCTGGGCAATTGTTTGCCTCACAGCAACAGGACAGAGCCAACGCTGACCAAGTGATGTGAAGCTGATGTGAAGGCCAGCAGGGATGCTGTGTCTGAACTGAATGGCATCATTTGTTAGCCTTGTCTCTTGGCCTGCACCTTACAGCTTTCCATTGATCTTTGCTGTGCCTTCTCACGCCCTGGGGGGATGGGCTTCTCTCTGCCCTGTAACCTTTCAGACTGCATTCCTTCCTTGTGAGCCTTTTGTATAACGTCAGCTCTGGAGCTCCCTGACTTTGGCCATGCCTTTGTGAGTTTAGTCTGCAACTTCCTTGCTAAGGCATCACAAGAGCATAATTTCAGAGTGGAGAAAACAGGAAAATGAATTTCCATCAACATAGGCCTCAAGGCCAAGAGCAGACTTGGATATTGCAGACAAAACATTTATTTTTTAAGATATAGTAGTGGCCTCTTTAGAATTACTGCATGTGTGTTATAATATTATTAGCACAGCTAGGGAGAAAGATTTGCATTCTTGAATAATATGGAGCACATCTTCATAAGTGATGAAATTCCATTAAAAAATCAACACTTTTCAGTGGACCTTTGACTCAGTTATTTAACTGGTGAATTCAGTCCTGAAGAAAACCAGAATGCACTGCGCACTGCAGTCAGCTTTAGTCGGGGGTCATCACTGTGCTGCAGGTTAGTTTAGGTTTTGAAGTATTTGCGTGCACAAAGGGAGCTGTCTTGGACATAAGACCCAAGTGTAAACTAAATTTTACTTGTGTCTTGCACAAATAGCATGAAAATAATTTTTATAAGTCTGCTCTCAAAACCAAGTTTGACAGTATGGAATTTCCCAAATTTAGCATCATCTCAAATTTTCAAAAATTAGATTTGGCACATTTAGGTTTTCAGATTTATTTCTCAAAACAATTATAACTGATTTTAGAATTTATAGCTTTCTGTAATATATCATTCTTTATTCAAAATGCTTAGGACCTGAATTGTTTTAGATTTTTGAGTTTTTCAGATTTTGAAGTAATGCATGGGCAGCTAGAGCCGCCCCAATCAGCTACCCAGTCTGTAAGCCTGAAATCCAGGTTCTACTGTCAACATGCTTGTGAATGTTCAGATTGTAGATTTTCATGTGAGAGATGTTTCATCCTGTGTGTTTGGAAAATCATGGGAGACCAAGAAAGAAAACAGGCATTTTCTAAGCGAATTCTACAAGATACATAATGTTCTAGCTCTACATTTTTGTTTAGTTTTGTTTTTTTTATTTCTTTTCAGTTGTGGGTGAACATTGTGAACGGGGACATCCAGGATTCTACACGCACAGACCTGTATGAATACATTGTTGATTTTCTTACTTACTGCCCAGACCAAGAGCTGGTGTGGACCCATGCTGACTGGCTGCTGCAGAAAAGTGAGGAGGTTTGTGTTTCATAAATGCATTCTCTTAGGGATGCCTGGGAGAAAGACACAAAGACATCAACCTTAGGTGGAAGGGTAAAAGCTACATATGTCCTCTTCCTGTTTATTCCACCCCCTTTTTAATACCTTCCTTTGAGCATAAGCAAGTGGTGCAGGCTGCTGCTGTTGAGGTTTCTACAGAAGCCTTTCCCTACAGAGGCCTCTTGTAGAAATACGAGGAGCCTAGCCTTCTTTTGCCCCTGGTGTTCTGAAAACACTCTTACAGTTCCCCCTTCACTTGCCAGGGAACACAAGTCTGCATTTTGTTCTCTGGGATGGGTGCAGATTCTTACTCTACAGACTGGTCTTTTTCAAGAGGTGGCTCAGATCAGGAAGACCATTGTCCTCTTCTGCTTCCATCACTTCTACTGAGAGGCTGTGGACATGGAGGTATCAAGTGTCTTGAACATGACCTGGCTCATCTTGGAGGCTGAGACAGAACAGTGGTGAAAAGCAGCTGTTGGCCCTTGGCTCCACAGCAGTGGTTCTCAACCTTCCTAATGCTGTGACCCTTTACTACAGTTCTTCATGTCACGGTGACACACAACCATAAGATTATTTCATGGCTACTTCACAACTATAATTTTGCTACTGTTATGAATCATAATGTGAATATCTGACATCCAGGATATCTGATATATAACTCTCAAAGGAGTCACGATCCACAGGTTGAGAACCCTTGCTCTAGAGCCAGGCTGCATGCTCAAGACAGGGACAGAGATCTTAAGAGGCTCCACAGGTTACCAAGACACAGCAGCAAGCATAGCAGATCCATTTCCTTTGCTTCCCTTGCAGAGATAAGATCAGACCCTGATTCAGGGCAGGGCAGACTCCTGTCCATCTCACTTCCTGAGCTAGGTCAGAACCCCTATTCCTTCCATAATGAAACATTTTTAAATTACATTTATGTATTTATGTGTGTGTATTTGTGCATGTACATGTATTTACATGTGCCATACTGTCTGGATGGATGGATGGATGGATGGATGGATGGATGGATGGATAGATGGATGGATGGATGGATGGATGTCAGAGGACAGCTGAGGTTCTCACTTTCCACTGCATGTATCTCAGGGATTGAACTCAGATATTCAAGCTTAGCAGGAAGGACCTTAACCTGCTAAGCCTGCTCACTGGCCTCTCCATTCATCCTTTATGTCTGTGCATATGCCTACAGAATGCACCAGCATGCGTTCCTATGGTGTACATACAGTGTCATTGAAATGTTTAGGTCCTTTCCATTTACAGAGCGATCACAGCCAGACATACAGAAATTATTCTGTGTGTCACATGGTGGCCCTCCACATGACATCTGCTTCACAGATGGGGTTAACACACCCCATCTTTCAAGGTCATGTAGGCAAGCAGAGCTGAGACACAATCCAGACCTGTAGCTGTGCCATGTTTCTCATTCATGTTTGGAGTCACAGGGTATGAGGGTATGTGTGCATATCTACATGTGAGCAAGCAATAGTACACATGTCAGGTGGCCAAAGTATCTCCTCAGAAGACAAAAGTGATCCAGGGTGCTCCCTCTGGCAGGCATCGGGAGGCAGCCTGGAAGCTGTTCAGGGACTACAGGTTCAGATGGCAAATTAGCCAAGCACAGTAAATAATCTACTAGCCAGACAATGTGTTCAGAGAACCAAGAGTACACTATGAGTTTTCATACTTTCTGGATTTTTCTCACTTAATCTTTGCAAGCAACAATTTCTATTTGGGACAATCTTAATAGTGCTAGTGTTTGGTGCATGGCTGTCAAAGCCTGTTACCAATGACCGCTCCTTTTGTTAGTTTCCAGCCATCTTAGAAGAAGTCCCAGCAGTGTGTGGGGAGGGTGACTTAGCGTCTCTCTTCTGTCTGTGGCATACACTGTTTGGTCTTTCTTTTCTCCATATTTTTGAGATAAGTGTGGCATATGAGAAGTTGTACCTGCTTATCATCAGTGTATCCTGCATGATGGTTTTAGCCAAACCATGACTGTTGAGTGACCAACAGAATAATGAAGAAAACTGAATTGCTGCTCTTTCTGCAGATTGGAGTTCAAGTTTTCACCAAGAGACCTTTGGACGAGCAGCATCAGACTAGTTTTAATCCAGACAACATTATTAGTTGCCTTAAGAAGTACCCTAAAGCCCTGGTTAAGTATCTGGAGCATCTCGTTATCGACAGGAGATTACAGGTGAGCACTCAGCCTAGACTGAGGTCTGTGGTGCGATGTCACTAACGGCTTAGCAGGGGGAACCTGGCTGTTGCTTTTTGGGCAGGTCTTGTACCCTGGTCACTCAGTCTGTGCTTGTTGGTGATCTGTGGGATATGAGCCTTAGTGAGAGAGACCCAGAGGGAACAGAAGTAGACGCTTGTCTCGTATCTCATCTCCACTCCATGTTTCTTTTCTCTTCATTATCCTCACAGGAAATGGGAGACGCTATGTCGTTCATAGAGTACCCAAAGTCTTTGCCTCTCAGGTGTCGCCAACATGCGCTAATCATCTTCCCATCATGATGATAAAGTACCCAAGGCCGTGAACTTGTGCAGAGCAGAGGGTTCTTTTGCCCCATAGTCTTTGAATCTATGACAGGTTGTCCTACTTCTTTTTTATTAGGTTTCTTAGTAGAAAAAGACAGTGTCGTGTCCAGAAAGTCAAGCGTGCAGGGCAGGGGGTTGAGGTCCCACTGTCTCTGCTATGGTCCCACTTCTTTCCATTGACCAAATCCCTTCCAGGCTCCACTCCTAACCCCAGTAGCTGTCCCATGGAACTTTGAGAACACATTTAGTATATAAACTATAGCAACATGGCTCTGTGTTGGGGTTCCTGGGAAGTTTCCAGTTCCCTGAAAGTATCCTGTCCACCGTGTTCAAGAATCTGCCACAGGCTCCCTCAAGTAAACACTGTGTCTGGTGCATCCCTGATTCCTACAGAAAGAAGAGTATCACACCCACCTTGCCATCCTCTACCTGGAGGAGGTGCTGCGGCAGAGGGTATCCACTGGAGGCAAGGACATAGAAGCCACTGAGACACAGTCCAAACTCCGGAGGCTGCTCCAGAAGTCTGATTTGTACCGTGTCCACTTGTTGAAAGGTGAGGATAAACTTAGCATCCCAGTGAGAGACTTCTGTGGGGCTGAGGCAAGGAGACTTTGTACCAGAGTGTAGCATTTGGGTCCCATAGATTGATTCCTTGAGTCCTTTTCCTCAGAGCTGTCCTGATGGGTTTTGGATTGAGCTATAAAACACCATCATTCATGATTCACCTTCTAATGACTTTGGTACCTTCCTCACTCAGTGTCCCTGGGGGTAACACCTGGACCCCCAAAGTCCCCAGATCTGCTATGCTTCAGCCCCTTAAGAGAAATGTCATAGTCTGAGCATAGAATCTGTATAGCTCCCGTCTCCTTTTTACCTCTGTCTATGCCTTAATGTGGCAGCCTCTTAGTAATTATTTGCTGACATTTACTGTAGGAGAAGGGTGATGCTTGTGTGCTGCGGCATCTGTGCCTGCTGCTGTACTTGACACAGGCAATACAGCCAGCCCTTTATCTCCTAGACTGGTGATATCTGCCTCAGGCATCAGGCCTGAGGAGTAGCCCATGGTGGCCGAGCCTCGAACACTAGTGCCTATCATTTTGTATTAACCTTGGCACTGAACTAAGTATTGTCCAGGGAATAGTCCATTGCATGGTGGGGGGGGTAGATCTCATGGTGTCCTCTATTTCATAGCCCACAGGAGAACAAAGTGACCTGGGCAGTAAGACTCAGCCCATCAGCCCACTAAGGGCAACCCTTGATCAAGACTGACACTGCCCCTGGGCTGTGCCATTTTCTGGAAGCCTAACTATAGGGGGAACAAAAGAAAAGTTTTTATTTCTGTTCCAGAAACTCATTAGATAATACAGATAGGATTTTTTTAATACCTTGAACCCATGTTCCTTTCAGTGGAGCATGTTTTAAATTAGTATAAAGGGGTTGAGCATAGCTTTTATGGTGAAGTGGATATTTGAATTTTATCCATAGATTCTGCATCTGAATATTCAACCAACTGTGACTTGAAAATATCCGACATAAACATCACAGCATTACTGTTAGCCATATTTCACTGTATCCCAAGTCTTCCAGAGGTGCTCTCAAGTATATAGTGTTACTTGAAAACACTACAGGGGATTTGGGGGTCTCTCCAGGAGGGTCTTGATTCTAGTCCTCCAGAAGACGCGGAGGGACAGTTATTCCCCTGTGCATAAGTCATAAGATTCTGTACTGAGAAGGCAGAGCCATGGTATTTTAACTCCAGACCAGGAGCCAAGCTTTGGGGATGCTTATTTAGGGCTCTTTTGAGACCAGACTCACCTGTTTGCTGGACATTAGCAGTGAAGGCTGTCTTCAGTTTTCCTGACTCTGAGTCTCCAGGAAGAAATCCACGGAGCCGCCTCCCTCCCTCAGCCATCTAGGTGGCAGTATACAGCAATGTCTAGGGAGCTAGAGAGCCTAATTTTGCTGAGGCTGCAGGAACAAGCAGGTGAGCTCGGCCGGCCAGCCAGCCCAGTCTATAACTAAGTGCCAATTTTGTCTCACAGAGAAAATCCAAGGTGCTGGCCTGCCCATGGAAAGTGCCATCCTCCATGGGAAGCTGGGTGAGCATGAAAAGGCCCTGCACATCCTGGTGCATGAGATGGGGAACTTCTCTGCAGCTGAGGACTACTGCCTGTGGAGCTCCGAGGGTCAGAATGCAGCCTGCCGTCAGCACCTCTTCCACACACTGCTCTCCATGTACCTCAGTGCAGGCCCCTCTGCCCAGGACCTGACTGTGGCTGCTGTGGACTTGCTGAACCATCACGCCAGAGAATTTGATGCCACCCAGGTCCTACAGCTGCTGCCCGACACTTGGTCGGTGCAGCTTCTCTGCCCATTCCTCACAGGAGCTATGAGGGACAGCATCCATGCTAGGAGGACCACACAGGTGGCTCTTGGCCTGGCCAAATCAGAAAACCTGATTTACATGTATGATAAGGTGAGTGCCTAGCCTTTGTGCCAGCTCACTCCTCTGCCAGCCCATATTGCATGGGAGGTAAGTTTTCTTAAACTATGAAAAAATGGTCTTGGTCAGTTTTCCCCTTTTGACACTGATAATCATGACAGTGTGTGACATTACAGTGTGTCATCACCACTGTAATCCCGGTGCTTGGGATGCTGAGGGAGGAAAATAGCCAGGAACTGAAGGTCATCCCCAGGGGCATAGTAAGTTTAGACCAGCCTGGGCTTCAGTGCAAGACCCTGTCTCTGACAAACAAAACCAGAGGAGGATGTGTAGGGAAAGCCGAGGGAAGGAGAGCAGTGTTGGAGTGGACACACCCCTGATGCATTCTTCACTCCGTTTGAGTACTTAATAGCATTTGTGGTCTTCTGGAGCCATGACTTTTGCACGGAAGATAAAACTGAGGCTGGTGACATTCTCAAGAAAGAGCCCAGAAGTACCTCCCAAGCAAGTTCAGACACCCACAGAATTCCATTTCTGCCCCAAATGGCTGTCTGGAAGAGAAAAGAATCGCGTTCTATGCATAAGCCTCCCTTCACCTTCAGCCCTGCAGCCTAGGACATGCAATTTCCCTCGCTCTCATGTTCCCACCTCCCTGCTGCTTCCCAGCATACATCTGGCCTTGCCTGCCTGGCCATGCAGCATGTCCTACCTCCTGTCCTAGGCACGTGCTGACCCCCCCCCCCCCACCAGGAGTATTCTACCTTTTTCTTAGCATTTGGCCTGCCCGTTTTGTTTCCCACCTCAGAGCCTTAAGCTGTAAGGCCTTTTGCTTGCCTACATCCCTTGTGTAGCCATTGGCAGCTTCCTCTTACTTTTGGGAGCTGTGTTTACATTTCCCTAGGATTAACCGTGCATGCTACAGGGATCCATGTTGAGGATCCTAGTTCGTGGAGGAGAGAGACTTCGGTGGGTTGCTGCCGCCTGCTCCTGTGAGTGGACTGACTTGTCCAGACTGATAGAGAGGGCATATAGAGAAGCCTCAACTTTTGTAATTCAAGTTCTAATTTTCGGACTAGGGCCAAGTGTGCTGTGTCTTATGACTTCCAACAAAACGAAATTGTGATGCTGGGAATGTGCCACTGACTAACTGAGTGACTGTGACCAAATCCCGATCTGGGGTCCTGCTTTTTACTTGCAAATGAGGGTCTTACTCGACCCCACTCAGCTCTGATAGCAGTGACTTTGTGAGTGTCTGGGGTTAAAACAGTCAATGCTTTGAGAGTGCCGAAAGGAGGAGTTTATATAGAAATTTCCAGACACACAATGGTTGCTTTAAGCAGAATGACTCTAGATGGCTCGGAGGTTAAGACTGCTTACTGCCTTTGTGAGCCCCGGGTTCAGTTCCCAGCACCCACATGGTGACTCACAACTCTACTGTCAGGGGTCTCATGACCTTTTCTTGCCTCTGCAGGCATGTGATGCACAGAAACTCATGCAGGCACACACATAGACATAAAAATGATAAATAAATCTTTAAAAATAAAAGGAAAGCAGCTCTGCCTCCTCCTCTGTCTGCGCATTAAGACCTGCCCTGTTTATTTCCATGTCTCATTCCCTGTGTCCACAAGTTGATGGAGAGCAGGCCTTTCAGCAGTCGTAGTCCGCAGCCAGTGTGCACCCACCCTGACTCTGCCGCCTCCTCACTGTTGCTTTCTGTTTGCAGATGAAGCTGAAGGGAAGTGTAGTCCATCTCTCAGAGAAAAAGCTTTGCCAGCTCTGCCAGAACCCTTTTGGTGAACCTGTGTTTGTCAGATACCCAAATGGAGGACTTGTGCACACCCACTGTGCTGCCAGCAGACACACGACCCCCAGCTCGCCCAGCCCTGGCACTCGGACTTGATAAGTGTGGCTCCAGGCTGCAAAGGAGATTCTTTTCCACATCTGTTTGTGTGTGTGTGAGAGAGAGCCAGAACAAAGGGAAGGCAGCGTCTAGGGGCCAGGGAACCGCTCTCCCTGGGAAACAAGGGCACTTCTCTGCTGATTGTTGTCTGTGTGAATGGAAATGGAGAAGGCCTGAACACCCCCTCCCCCCAGGATAGTGACGGGCCAGAGTCTACCTGTCCAGGAGGTTACAGTCATCCAAAGCACAAGTCTGAAAAGCAGGCAGTGTAGCCTGGGTGAACAGACACAGGTGGGGCCTGCAAATGAGGTCTGCCCCGGCCCGGCAAATGTCCAGGGTGCAGAAGCCTGAGCCGGCCAGGCACCTTGCCTTTGAGGAGGAATGTTCCTCACATAGGCTCCACATCTGCCCCTAAAGTGGATGGAGCATCTGGTCTTCCCATCCAGCTGTCAACCTCTGAAACCCTCTGCCTCGGTTACCTAAGCACTCACTGGGTGTAAAGTCCTATGCTTCTGGCTGCCTAGCACATGGAAATCTATTTAGAAAGAGCTAAAGATTCAGTGGACAAAGGCACTTGCCACCAAGCCTGGCAACCTGAATTCAATCCCCAGAACCTACATGAGGAAGGAGAAAACCAACTCCTGCAGGCTGTCTTCTTACATGCACGAATGCACGCAGCACACTCGCGCACACCCACACACCCACACATACACACGGGGAGGGGGTGGCTGGGGAGAGAGAAGCGGTCTGAGTGGGAAGCTGCTTTGCCTGGCCTGAAGACTGCAACAGAAAGAAGACCCAGAAGTTTGAGGGCCCAGAAACAGGTTCCTTTTCATCCACTTGCTGACTGGAAACACCTTGATGGACATACACAACTCAAATGTTTTTATTTGAATTCATATCATCTTTGTAGTTTTCTCTCATTTGAAGTTTTGTCAGTCTTACTCATTATGGATATCTCTTCCCTCATTAAAACGTACCTCCTACTGAATACTTGGGAAATTCAAAGGGAGATGTGATCAGGAAACCAATGAGCCTTCCAGGAGAGGCTCATACTGGCCTCTGCCCTGTCGCAGGCAGCTGGCAGAGCTGCTGCCCCCTGTTCTGCCCACAGGTGTTTCTGCAGGATCTTAGGAGGCCAGGCCACCTTATCTGCCAGCACTTTCCATGCCTGCCCTGAGCTTTCCTGAATGCTTAGAGGAAAGGTCTTACCTGTGACCAACTGGACTTGGTGTCTGTCATTGTCACAGACAAACTGCAGCTCTTGCCATATCCCTGCTCTGAAGTCTCGGAGCCAGTCCCCGGGATGGTAACTCTGTGAGAACATCAGAGCAGACAGCACACTCTCTACTAAGATGCTTGGAAAAGCAGCAGCATCTCCTGGGCTGATGGGACAGTCCCAGAACACACCCCAGCCCATCTGCCAGACCCTCTCCCCACCCTGTCCATTCCTGACAAAGTGATCTCTGCAATTACAATAATCGCTGTATTTCTTATCCCTTTGGGATTCCGAGTAAGCCAGGAAGTAAAAGCACCCGTGAGTGTTCAGGGGACTGACACCCTTTTCCCTACATGTGTCTGAGAATAAATGATGAAGTCTCCTTGCAGCTCCTCTGTGTCCCAAGGATGACTGAGAACACTCTTCTTACTGCATGACATTACAGCCAATGAACTGCTGTTTAATCTTGCCATGGTCAAACCTGAAAGCACTGTTTTTCATGCACAAAACGGGTGCAGTCTCAGAGAAAGGGCTTGTGACTGTCCATTCCTAATGTGGGGGACTCTAGTCTCTTCTCTGAGTATTGATCGATAAAGAGCAGCACCCCCCCCAATCCTTTAAAGCATACACTTCTACAAGGTAGCAAATCACCTCACATGTTACAAACTATTATTTCCTTCCTCACACGCTCCCAGGGGCCATTTCACAAATCCCATTTTTAAGATGAATACATAGCATACTTTTGTCACAGCCCTGCTCTTTTGTGACTGTCCCCTGGGTAGCACAACAGCTGGCACTCAGCTCTTTTGGCTTTGGCTCTGTGCAACCATCCTAGCTGGAGCAGCACTGGCTGAGCTTGGGTCACATTTGTGTCTGGAGAGCAACAGGGCTGTTCAGTTTGGAGGAACTTTATCCACTGTTGGCTATCAGGTGTTAATGTAGGCCTGTCACCTAGGCTGTGGGCACTGGGCCTGAGCACAGAACTGAGAGCCTCTGTGAGCCATGCTTGACACTCATGGAGCACAGAGAAATGGGTCACACTGTCACGGCACCTGTCTCACAACCAGGACAGCCCTTGCTTCCTGCTTGCTCTCCCACAGGAATCTGTCCTAGCTTCCTTTGCCTCTTAACGGGTCCCACCAGATGTATAAATGTAAACTTGTTGATTTTATTAAAATTCTTCTAATTCTTTGTCCTTTTCTTGGGTCATTTTTTAAAAAATAAAAACTACCTTGCTGAAGTGCTGTTTTCCACAGATGCTGCTCCACCCTAAGGAGCTCTAGAATCCTGCTAGACTTTTTTCCTTGTGACCATGGACGTACCTGTGGCAGCTGCAGCTGCCCCTCGGGCTCTGCTACGACTTGGCTGGATTTTAAACCTCTCTACCTCAGCATTTCGCTTCTGCTTATTCTTAGGGCACTTGTGTATACGCAATGCCTTCAGATGAACAAGGCACTGAGGCCTTGTGAACCAAGATTTTGGGTGATGACTCATTCTCCTTAAAGTCAAATGTTCCAAACCCTAAGCTCCTGCATTCCTAATCCTGAGCACATTCCAGAAATAAAAGCAGACCTTTCTACTTTCTTGGGGTGACGAGATGCTTCATTGGGTAGGAGTGCTTGCTGCAAAGCATGAGAAGCTGATTTGCAATCCCAGAACTCATGTTGAAAACCAGAAGTTGGCCTAGAAACCCAGAAATACGGAGGGGAGGGTAGAGACAACATTGCTCCAGGTTCTGTGAGAAACCCTGTCTTCAAGGGTATAAAGAGGGAAAGTCAGAGCTGGACCCCTGAGACCATCTTGCCCCATACATACATGAGTGCACCATTTTTTTTTTTTTCAAATCAAATCCCCTCCCTGAAATGGTCACCGCAGGACTTTGAGCAAAGCTGTTGAATGCTACTACTCTCTCATGGCTTCCGGCTTCCGTCCCAGGTACTGCTTCACTCCTGAGGAAAGGAGGCATTTGTTACTACAAGGTTCTTTCGGACTCTTCTAACCCTACTCTATTAAGTAGCTGGGTAAATTTCACATCAGCGAGTGAGGCAAGCTGCCATGGCTTCGATTTCAAACAGGAAAACTGGGGTAGTGTTCTGGTGATTTTAGTTTGGCACCAGGTCAGCAGGATGGTCCCAGCCTGCATATTCCCATCTGGCACTTTGCCAAGCAAAGAGACCCCCCCCTCCCTCCCCCTGACCTGAGGTCACTGTTACTTGAACTACCACGGGTGCTGTGTTCAGAGAAGTGAGGCCACAGCTGTTTTATTATTATTTTTAATGATTTATACACTGGTATCCTAGTGTGTATTAGCATACTAGATAGTAAAAATAAAAATAAAAAGCAAGATATAGTGGAAGCCAAACTGGATGGAGGCTGGCCTGGGAAAAAGAGGCAGCATTCACACCGAATTGTGAAACGACTACAAAGACGAGATAAGGCAGAGAAAAAGTAAATTGTTCTAAATGAGTCTTGTGGAGGCAAAGACTGGCATCTGCTTCAGTTAAATGGGCTGTGACTTGTGTTAGGAGTAATTAGATATTAACTAACACCCCATTTGCTCCTAGTGGATCTGTCAACCTTAGCGTTTGAAATGAAAACCTACAAGAATCTAGACCATATGGATCAGGGACCTTTTCACCTTCTCAGAAAAGCTCAGTGGCTAGAGCACCATCTAAAAGCTTGTTAACAGGCCGTTTGGAGAAAAGCGCTGAATTAATGATGCCTGCTTTTCTTTAGCTTGCAACCAGGGAAGGGAAACAAATAGCTATCATTCAGTCTGCAGCCTAGAGTTGTAAATTAGCTAAATGAGATCATGTGGCAAGAAAGAATTAGAAAGCAACACACAGCTAGTGAGATGAGTGTGACTTTATCAAAAAGATGCTGGCTCTGACACTCCACCTGGACTTTGGGGTCTCATCCATGGTCTTGGGGTAGGGCTGGGTAGCATTCAAGGTTCCCTCAGGTATTAACTCTCTGAGAAAAGGAATCAGGGTAAGGTAATGGCCATGACTCAGCCTTCAACACTCAGTGTTGCCCTCCAGGGCTTGGTGGGCTCCAATAGCACACAAATCCTGCTCAGCAGTGTGGCTGCGGTGAGGCTGTCCCTATGGGATGTCAGGATTCCAACATCTCACTGCATGCACACTGCCCAGGAAAGTGACCCCAATAGCCACCCACAGGGGTTCGCTCTGCTGTCTGGTATTCAGTTGCTCCTGTCCTCCAACCTGTGCTAAGAAGCATTTTGCTTCGTCTCTGGCTTCAAGGAGTCCTGCACTACCACGGTCGTCTTTCTCCACGGAATGTTTTCTATGTCTTACTTGAGATAGTAATTTTTCCCCTTCAGATTCTATTTGTGTTCTCCTAAGCTCAGCAGACAAATCCCAGCCTGATCTCAGGAGTGAGAGCTAGAATGACCTAGTCTTCATTGTCTACAATTAAACTGACTTGCCCTCAGTGGTCCACACAAACGTTTTTGATTTACCTGGACCAGCTGATGCACATGATAGAACTGGGGGTTTGGGTAGGCTGCACAGTGTCCTTCCCTCCCACCTCCGTAGTCAGGATGTTACAGGAAAGCCCCCAAATCCATTCTAAACCATTTCAACACATTGCTGAGTTACGGACCACCATTGACTGAAGCTTATAAATATGTATAACCAAATGCTAAACTTTTGCTTTCTTGGGAATTAGAGAACAAGAAAGCCTTTCTTGGTTGTTTGCATAATAATGCACACCCCTGAAAACAGTTTCTTTTGACTTCAAATAATTTACCAGAGTATATTTATTTTATATGAATAAACCACGTCAAGAAATCAGTAGTCTGCCCTAAAGAAAAGCAGTAACTGTTACTACCGATGTTATTATGTTTAAAAAGTGTTCCTTTCAAACTGTAAGCATACACCCGTAAATAAGATCATTGCAAACACTACTTTTTTTTTTTTATGGAGCAGGACAAACACGCACACACACACACACACACACACACACACACACAGAGCCACACACATCTGGAAACCGGAGGACAACTCAAGGGAGTCAATTCTCCTTCCATCGTGTCCATCCCCGGCCAACAGACCATCATGGTTAGCAGCAATCACTTTCAACCACTGAGCTGTTGGACCAACCTCCCAACCACGTTCTTCTTGGATTTTATTTTTAATTTATGTGTATGAATATTTTACCCACATGTATGTCTGAGCACCATATCCATGCAGTGCCCACAGAGGCCAGAAGACAATGTTAGTACCCTGGGACTGGAGTTACAGATGCTTATGAGCTGCCTTGTGGTGCTGTAAATTGAACCTGGATCCTCTGGAAGAGCAGTCAGGGCTCTTCACAGCTGACCCGTCTCTCCAGCCCCTGCTGCCATTTGTAAGGTGTACATTGTTGTCACACAACCATTACCAACATCCATTTCTGCTTTTTTATGATTCCTGAGATTCTGTGTTCAGTGGGGGACAATAGCTTCCCATTTCACTTCCCCTGAATTCTGTGACCACACTCTTCTTCCTGTTTCTGTGATTCCGACAGCAGGGAGCCCAACTAAGTCAAAGTGTGCAGTTCTCTTCCATGACTGAATTCACTCGGCCTGTTGTAGCATGAGTGCATAACAATTTCCTTTTTAAAAGCAAATTGACAGTCCATTTCATGGTTTTTAAATAGTGTCTTGGCTGGTGTTGTGTAACAACTAGACACAAACTAAAGTCATCAGAGAGAAAGGAGCCTCAGGTGAGAAAATACCTCCATGAGCTCCAACTGTAAGGCATTTTCTTAATTAGTGATCAATAGGTGAAGGCCCAGCTTATTATGGGTGGTGCCATCCCTGGGCTGGTAGTCCTGGGTGCTATAAGAAAGCAGGCTGAGCAAACCATGGAGAGCAAGCCAGTAAGCAGCACCCTTCCATGGCCTCTGCTTCAGCTCCTGCCTCCAGGTTCCATCCCTGTGTGAGCTATTGTCCTGACTTCCTTTGGTGTTGAACAGCAATGTGGAAATATAAGCTGAATAAACTCTTTCTTTTCTCTCAAACTTGCTTTTTCAGTCTTGGTGTTTCATTGCAACAATAGAAAAATCTAACTAAGACAAACAGTGTGTTAGCGAGCGAGCGAGAAAGAGAGAGAGAGAGATTTACATGTATATATTTTAATTAGAATTTATTATATTAGGTATCATTAGATCGTATTAGAATTTGAATTTGAATTTCTATTTTCTACATCCAGAAAAGCATGTAAAATATAACTTTCTATCAACCCATCTAAATATCATCCACCTATTGTCTATTGTCTGAATAAAGTAATTAAAATTCACCAATAAGCAAAGTTGGTGTGTGTGGTCTGGTATAGACCCTTCAGAATGGGTTCAAACTCAGCACAAGATGTTTGATAACAAGGACTCCCCACTAGCCATCTATGATGTGACATTTGCTTCTCTACAAAGCCTATTCAGAAACAAGGGCCAGACTAACTTACTTATAGGGAAGAAGGATAAAAGCGGTGTCTGCAGGCCTAGCATATGATCAAACAGGCAGGGGTGTGTTTCAAAGCAGGTCTTCTAATGAATGTAATGTTTCCCCTAATTTTCCTCAACCTCTCTCTATATACAACCATTCAGTCTTGTGGATAGGGCAGACATGCCTCATCCTCAGATCCTTAGCCATGTCCCTCCTTGAAGAATACCTAAAGCTACCATGAGCCCCCCATTTTTATCCTTGAATGGATCACCACCACTACATGGCACTGACATCTAGGGGTGCAGACAGGGGTGGGGGAATTTCTCTGCCTCATTTTATTGGGAGAGAAATTTGACATCTTGAAGAGTACATATAGAGGGGTTGAGGGTCTGGTCTGGGATGGGATGAGAAGGACTAATGTACCATTTCCCCATGGGTATGAGCTAAGGAACAGTATCCAAGGAAGTTAAGTCAGCCTGTTTCCTTTTTCTACCACCATGGGGAGCCTGAAACTGCAGATTCCCTGGAATGTTTGCACACCTGCTTTGCAGGCCCGCGTCCCGGGTAATCTCCGTGGAATAGACAGAAGCAAAGGTTATCTAATTATAGAGGCTGGGCACACCGAATGTGAGAGCATCCTGTAAGCTCGTCATTATCTCTGCCCCGTCACTGTAATTTCACGCAAGTGAACACAAGAAGCAGGCAGGGCGCTGCCTGTCCTGTGTGAGCTTAATTTGCTCCCGCTGTTG